AAAAAAAAACTTTCTTCAATTTACAACTAAAATAAAAACACCGAGCTCATCTTACACGGCAACTCCAGGCCCGGGTGCACAGTCGCATTTTTGACCATAGGTGGGGAGTGACGACCATCGTCCATGTCCAGTTCCGTGCACTGAGCTTCCCCGTGGATGACAGCCAAACCCAGACGCAGTCTCTCCGCATAGGACTGGGCCCTAGAAGGACAAAGGGAAATGGTGAAACTGACAGGAAGAAATCCCACATATCACTACTGCATCACTTTTTAACCACAAAATGAAAATATGTAACATTTCAGGGACATGCAAAGGCATTATTTATATAAATGAGAATGTGAGGCCCAGGTCAGAATGTAAATGCCTCAAAGGGCACATGAGTTAGCGTCTGGGATTGTATCTGATTCTAGACACTTTTTTTTTTTTTTTTTGAGACAAAGTCTCACTGTCACCCAGGCTGGAGTGCAGTGGCGTCAACATGGCTCACTGCAGGCTCAACCTCCTGGGGCTCAGGTGATCCTCCCAGCTCAACCTCCCAAGTAGCTGGGACCACAGGAATATGTTATCACAACTGGCTAATTTTTGTATTTTTGTAGAGACAGGGTCTCACTATGTTACCCAGGCCAGTCTTGAACCCCTGGGCTCAAGCAATCTCCCGCTTTGGCCTCCCAAAGTGCTAGAATTACAGGCGTAAGCCACCCCGCCCAGACCTGATTCTACATAATTTTGATTCTATCCTTTGTCCAATATTCTTAATAGTCATCTTCAGAAGAGAGAACAACGTTAAAAACCATTGCCTGGGCCGGGCACAGTGGCTCACGCCTGTAATCCCAGTACTTTGAGAGACCGAGGTGGACAGATCACCTGAGGTCAGGAGTTCAAGACTAGTCTGGTGAACATGGTGAAACCCCGTCTCTACTAAAAATACAAAAAATGAGCCAGGAGTGGTGGCAGGTGCCTGTAATCCCAGCTACTGGGGAGGCTGGGGCAGGAGATGTGCTTGAACCCAGGAGGCAGAGGTTGCAGTGAGCCGAGATCAAGCCATTGCACTCCAGCCTGGGCGACAGAATGAGACTCCATCTCAAAACAAAACAAAACAAAACAAAACAAAACAAAAAAACTATTCGCTGAAAAATGCTCATAGCCTCATTGATTTCCTTTCTCTGGGAACTTGAAGGAACTTTGTTTTCCCAGAGGAAAGCTGAGCAACTCAGCAATCATGTGTGTTGTCTGGAGGCTGGAGATAAAGCTGTGTGTGGCATGGGACATGGCAACGAGGAAGGGGTTAACATGAGAGCCAGTGGGTTTTCACAGGCCACGAGTGACAGCCTCTGGATTCCAAAGCAGCTCATTCTGGCTTTGGGAGCACTCAGGAGGGATCAGGACCCATGTCTAGCTTACTTACCTCTTTGCAGCATCAGGAGACTTAGCTACAATGACTGCATTTCTGTAATTTGGAATCTAGATTTGAAGGAAAAATAGAAAATACTGAAAAGTTATCAGAAAATAACACCTGGATGCTGGTATTCAAGTTCTTATAACAATGATCCAAACTAGTCATCAAATATGATAGAATTTTAGCCACAAGTTTTAGATTTTTCAATATTTATCAATTAACATCATTGCAAAAAGCACTCCATCAAGAATTTTTAAAAAATAATTCTTATTAAAACCTTCATTTTAGAAAACATAAGCAAATTGCTAAAGATACGTAGGAAAAAAAATCCATTTTTAGTGTCTTTTAAAGCTATGATCCTCCACGACTAAAGCTGACCCTGTCTGCTGCCTCAGGCATTGCGACTTAAGGGAGAGCTCATTTGATGCGCCTTTCAATATCGAAATCCGATACCAGAGAAAAACTAAATAAGATCTCTTTTGAGGACAATGGGGTGTTTGCTGGTGGTTCCTCACTTCTTCCTGGATATACTGAAGCAGGAAAGGTGAGGCTCTAAGGTTGTCCACGGGAAAGCTGAAAAAGCCTTGTATTTCCTTTTGATGAAGATCCATAGTGATAATGTGAGTTAAACCTGAAATTTTAAAACAAAAAATTACAAAGTTCACCCCTACAGGTTAATGGCTACAGTGGACCTAAACTAGATGCTCAACTCCTGCTTCCTACCAGCAGACTGAAGACAGGGGGTGCTGTGATTAAGCACTGCAATCACAGGCTTGATTGTTAACTTTAATAAAGCCTTAATGTGGAGAAGACTACAACTTTCCAATGTAGAGAAGGCTACAACCTTCCACAGGACAAAGAACTAAAGCTGAGAAAGTGGGAATTATTGACTATTGGCTTGGTCCAGAAAATTGAGAAAAGAATAATGTGGCAGAAGCAAAACTATGAATATGGAATTAATATCAAAGAGATGTAAAAAACAGTAAGGCCTTTATTAAAGAATCTTGAAAGAAAGGATAAAGAACTGCAGCGAAGGCAAAAAGTAGTAAGAACACGAAAACGAATATACATATTAGAAGAAAAGAAACTCATGTAACACAAAGATATTGAAGTCTAGAATAATTTCTGTATGTGATAAAGAATGTTTCAAGTACTCTTATAGAAAAACAGTGAAGAGATACCCTTATAATCAAGAGTACTGAAGAGGAAAAGGTACATATATAAACACATTGCCAATGGTCAAAGGTCACAGCAAAACTTCCAGAGCATAGAACCAGTATTACTTGTTCTTTCCAGAAATATTATACTTTTTTGGACAGAAGGAAATTCACATACAGTTGACCATCTGGATCTACGAGTTCCACGTGGGGATTCAACCAAACACAGACTGAAAATGTAGTTAGGCCTACGATGGTTGTGTCTGTAATGAGCAGGTATGAAATTTTTTTTCTCGTCATTATTCCCTAAATAATGACAGTTATAACAACAATTTACATAGTATGTATACGGTATTCGGTATTTATAAATAATCTCCAGATGATTGTGTTGGTTATATGCAAATACTATGGCATTTTATATGAAAGACTTGAGTATCTTTGGGTTTTGGTATCTGCTGAGGAGCCGGGGAAGGGGGAGATAGGTTCCTGGAACCAATCCTACAAGGATATCGAGGGAGGACCATACATTTCATTCTGAGGACATAAATACATGTTAAAGTTTTAGAACAGACATCAGATGAATAGAAACCCAAATGTAAAATACTACATTGATTTACAGGCCAGAAAGTGTGCCCCCGCTACATAAGGAGAATAAAGCAATGAAAATGAGCTGCTATGTAGAAAGGCAAAGGTGGGGGAGAGGTAGTAAAAGAAAATCCAGCTTGAATACTATGAACAAAAATGGAATTTAGCTAACAAAGCAGGTACAGAAATCCAGACCTGAAGATCAAAAGATCACATAAGAATGCCAAGACTGCCAGCTAAGAATTTAACGATGACAAGATGAAATAGAAGATACGTGACAGACGACAGAGAAGAGAAGACACTAAAGCAATGGTATTCTAAAGTAAGACGAAGCGAATAAGGGAAAAAACAGAATTTCTAACCAAGCTCACATATCCTTAGCCAAAACTGTTCAACAGGAAACAAACACTCAGATCCCAAATTGGGTAGCTGAGGTATGAACTAAGCCCGACTAGGAAAGAGCCCTAAAGGATCATGCTGGAACCCCAGGGCCCCGTCGCACACTCACCTGCTTTTGCCAGCATGGATGCTAGCAGCTTGCACACAATGGAACCTCTCTTCCTCATCTTGCTCTGCTTGCTGTAGGGGAAGTAGGGGATGACCCCAATAATATTCCTGGCACAGGCAGTCTTCAGCGCGTAAGCCATGATGAGCAACTCCATCACAGCTGTATTCACATCTCTGAAACAGTCCAAATTTGTATTTGGGGATTAACTCCATTTATTAACCCTTAGAAAAGATCTTGACTTTATCAACTTAACATGGGCAGCCAGACGGGTGTTGTGGGAATTTTACCATCACACTAGCTTACAATGGTACCTCATGAAGGCAGGGGAAGCTTTCCAACTTTTTGTAGCTGAGTAAGCCCCAGCTTTCATCTGAGGTTACTCCTATTCACAGCACAGTTAACCCACTCTCACATTTGCCTGGGTCTCTCGTGTGTCATACCGGGTTAATGCAGTGGCATCTGAAGCAACTGCTGGTGACCAGAGTTACCCAACACCTGCTGGCAGCCTCCCAGGGATTTGGGCTTAGGCCAGCATGAACGCCAAGAACCCACCTGCCCTTCCATTTAGCCGCCATTAACAGAAAGATTTGGTCTTTCTTCTCATTGGCTGTGGTGAGGTCTTGGAACATAATTTTTTTCTTTTTTTGAGACGGAGAGTCTCACTCTGTCGCCCAGGCTGGAGTGCAGTGGCATGATCTCAGCTCACTGCAACCTCCGCCTCCCAGGGGCAAGCAATTCTCCTGTCTCAGCCTCCCAAGTAACTAGGATTACAGGCGTGCACCACCACACGCAGCTACCTTTTTATTTTTAGTAGACACGGGGTTTTACCATGTTGGCCAGGCTGGTCTCAAACTCTGGACCTCAGGTGATCCACCTGCCTCAGCCTCCCAAGGTGCTGGGATTACAGGCATGAGCCACTGTGCCCAGTGAGAACTTAATTTTCAAAAACCTCCCTCGATGCTGGACACAGTGACTCAGCCTGTAATCCCAGCACTTTCGGAGGCCGAGGCAGGCAGATTACCTGAGGTCACGAATTTGAGACCAGCCTGGCCAACATTATGAAACCCTGTCTCTACTAAAAATACAAAAATTAGCTGGGCGTAGTGGCACACGCCTGTAGTCCCAGCTACTGGGGAGGCTGAGGCAGGAGAATCACTTGACCCTGGGAGGTGGAGGTTGCAGTGAGACGAGATCGCGCCACTGCACTCCAGCCTGGACGACAGAGTGAGACTCTGTCTCAAAAAACAAAACAAAACTCCCTGGACCCTTCCTTCCCTGACATATAAATTCCTGACAAAGATTACCCTGAGAGACAAAAAATGAAACATGAATCTGAAAGATAGTAGAAGGAAAGGCTACTTCCAGTGATTATAAATTTGGATTGTTAGCTTTTGCCAAGGATAATCAAACCTAATGTAGACTCTGTATTCATTCATTGATTCACTTACTTACTCACTTATTAAGAAATGGTCTCACCCCTGTCACCCAGGCTGGAGTGCAGTGGTACAATCATAGCTCACTGCAGCCTCGAACTCCTGGGCTCAAGTGATGCTCCCACCTCAGCCTATCAAAGCACTGGGATTATAGGCATGCACCACCATTCCCAGTCAGGCTCTGCCTTTAAAAACGGGTGAGAGAGCCTTGAAATCCTTCCAGGACGCTCTCTCAGTATTCACTTCTCACGTTAGCTTCCTCCTGCTCTTCCCTGGACTATCCACGCATCCTCAAACATCCCCATCTTGGGGTGGGGGTGGGGGTCAAGACTGTATCTCCTTTCCCTTCCCCATGTCCTCAGTTCATACCCATGGCAGCAGGTTCTTCAGGCACCCGTTCTTGAACAATTATCAGCTCTACACTGACATGTAGGTGATGCTGCCCTCATTACAGCAAAGTGGAAAGCCTGCCATACACAGAGTTAACGTTTGCTGAATAGGTGACTGAATGAAACACTCAGCAAGAGATGCCTTCTAGCTTGAAGGGTAATCGAGCCATTTCCTCCCAGTCTCTTACAATTTATGTTGACACTTCTCTCTAAGGCAGAGTGCGTTTGGGAGTGAGCGATTTCAAGGACATCCTTTTATTCTGACAATGTTTTCCACTTCCAGGTTCAACTCCTGGAACTTCCAATTTCACCCTTGTAATTTAGATTTTTCTTAACGATTGCAAGCATTCTGTGATTTAAAAAAACAAAAACAAACAAAACAAAAACAAACAAAAAACCTTTCTCCCTGAGGAGACTGATGCAGGGCTCAACTTCAAGACAACTAAGATATTCCTTTGAGACTGCTAATCCATTCCATTATTTTCCAGTTACCTTTTTTTTTCCCCCTCTCAATAAACTGGAGCATTTTTCTCCTTCAGCCTTCCAAATTAATAATGCCACGTCTGGCATCAAAAGGTCAGATAATCTTTGGCAGAATCAAAGCAATTATCAAACACTTTCAAGGAACTTGGGAATTCATAACAGTCAATTTTAGTTCATCATCCATGCAACACATATTTAATGGGCAACTTGAGTCAAGCACTGTGGTAGGTAAACAAGGCAAACCACCTCTAGGGAACGCCAGAGGCCATCTGGGACCACTCTCGAGGTAATCATTCTTCCCAAGAAGGAGCACATCTGACTCATGCAAGAATGTGTGGTCCCCTTCCCAGAGACTTTTTTTTTTTTTTTTTTTTTT